TGGAGGCAGCAGCAAACAAATAGGCACCTTTCAACACATTACTTTTTGCGTATTTTCTGAACGCGAGGAATGCACGCGACACGGACAACCTTCGCTCGCTTGAGAAACGCGGGCTAAAGGCGAAGACAGAATGAAACGTTTATAGATTGATATAAAGACCTTGACTCATATCACGTCCTATAGGCCTGCAAACGAGTAATAACCTGTTTATCGATTCCAAAAAAAGGTAGAATAGCTTGCAAATGGCAAACCTGCAAACCCCTCCGCAAGCACGTTGATTCGATTGAATTTCGAACGACTTCAAATCCAAAACATTTCGCTCAATTGCAGTATAGTGCTTCTCAGTATAACGATTGCCTGGGTATACGCAGTAGGGCATTCAGCAAATGAGGGAAAGTTTGTTTCAAATTGAATATATCTTTACACCTACCCGCCTCAAAACAACTTGGTAAATTATATCTGCAAATTTGTTACAGGCCAAAGATGACATTTAACAGTGAAAGCTGATGGACTTTATGAGAAAAGAATTAAATTTGAGCTCGCGGGAAGACTCTCATGTGTCAGCTCTAGCCGATTTGATTTTAGTCGCCGAATCTTGCATGCATGGTTACTCTCAGTTTTCCCTCCAAAGCAGTGAAATATATTATTTGACTTTTGTTATCAATTGACGTGACCGTGACTTCGCTGTTTATGACAAAAATTCTCTTACTGGATGTTGTTGAGGCCGACTAGCGGCCGCACCTGATAAACTGAAATTGATCTATGTCTGTTATAAGCTGACACTCGTTTAGGGTCGAACTGTGCACAGCTGGTCGGACTGTGTTGAATCACGTGNTTACCGTAGGCGTAGAACAAGTTGTCAAGCCGTAGAGCCGTCTGTACGTCGAGCATCGCGATTAAAGCTTTGAGTTTTTACGACTACGCGTTGAAAATATTCTGTGAATTGTCCCGAACAGATGTTAGGATTGTGAAAGCTTTAAAACGCAAGAACACGTTGTACAGCTTATTTTGAGTGCGAAATTTGATGATAAAATGCCTTTTTATTTCTTGAGACGCTAAACAAATCAAAGACAACGACAAATCGAAGACTTCTTGTCTACTCTAATGCAAGTTCATTTAACTGTGATTTCAGTCATAACTAATAGAAAATTAAATTGACATTTGAAGAGTTTGCTCGTCAGTTTTCTCCGCTTCGATTCACTTATAATTAAGTCTTCAAACTACTTCGAGAACAAAGTGACAGCATGAAACGACAAATTCAGTTGGTGGACTTCTTGAGGGGACTTTAAGCACTTCGTAGAGCTGGTGTAAAGTAGATATATACATTAACCTTAAGAATACTTGTAAATATTGTATTCTTGTTAGTACACTTGCAAATTTACGCGAAGTTTGCACTTGGTGTAAAGTCAACTTCAGTTCTTGTATGTTAAGCAGAAGTATAAACTGGCTCACAGATTGTTTTATGTAGTAACTTAAATACCATAGGGGTAGGAAATGAAAATCATCAAACTTAAGCATGTGTCTGTCACTACGCGATATTTGGTCATCTAATTCACTTCAAATATATCATTCTTTTATTATTGTTATTATCTTTTTTTCGACCACATCCTAGTATGGAGATTAGATAGCACGTAAGCAATACGAGAAATCTTACAATAAAAGGTAAAATATCATATGCGTTATTTTAACAGAAGCTCTGCGTGTTGTAAGTGAAGCACGGCTGGGGATAACCTTTATGTGACGTACAACGAAACCAGCCTAATTATATAAAACTTTAACGTAAAAAGCTGTTAAAATTGAGTCTTAACGTTTTCGATCTGTTTCATCATCATCAGAGTAAAATAATATGCATACACTCAGTGTCCTTATAGTTCAGGTAATGCCAGTTATGTAATACCTGTTCCCATGGGGAACAAGGTGAGCTCCACTACTTGCACTTGTTTGTTTAGTTTTGGACGGAAGCGCGCGATGTAGAACGCTCCTTTTATTCTCCTTTTTAACCATGAATGGGCAGTAGTTAAAACTTCCCACGAGAACTTGTGGTTAGAGTGTTTTCTGATGTGCTTGGTTGGCTCCGACTACTTATTAGCATCTGAATGTTCATTAACGCGAACCTCGAAGTTGCGTGCTGTTTCGCCAATGTATGTTTGTCCACAAGTACACTTGCCTTTGCAGATGACATGTGACGGGTGTGTGTTTTTGGCTTTTAACTTGAAGATTGATTCCATCTTGCGTGTTTGCCACATGATAAAGAAGTTGAACCTCCATTTGGTGTACGTGTTAAGTTTCTTTAAGAATTTTCTACTTTCTACTTCATTTGTTCTGCAGAAAGGGAGATAGATTCCGCCTTTAGGTCTTTCATCAAACCAGTGGACAGAAATTATTGTTTCGTCGCTTTTTGGGTTTTCAAAATCACGGATAAATTAATTTACTAATTTCGTGGGATATCCTGCTTTCATGAATGACTGTTTGATGGCTTTGACTTCTGCTTGCCAATTGGTGGCTATATGTTTTGCTCGATGTAAGGCACCTAGAATAGTGTTGCGCTTCTATCTTTCTGGGATGGCCGATTTCCAATGTACTTGTAGTTTACTTGGTTTTTGGTAGACTCTGGTGGTGAAGTTTCCCTCTTGATGGTTGAAAGAGGTGTCCAAGAAGTAGTCAGGGTTTTCTTCCAAGGTGAACTTGATGTTTGGATGGTAGCTGTTTAACAATAATTAACAACGTCCACTGGTTCGATGAAAGACCTAAAGTCGGAATCTGTCTCCCTTTCTGCAGAACAAATGAAGTAGAAAGTGGAAAATTCTTGAAGAAACTTAACACGTACTTCAAATGGAGGTTCAACTTCTTTATCATGTGGCAAGCACGCAAGATGGAATCAATCTTCAAGTTAAAAGACAAAAACACACACCCATCACATGTCATCTGTAAAGGTAAGTGTACTTGTGGACAAACATACATTGGCGAAATAGCACGCAACTTCGAGGTTCGCGTTAATGAACATTCAGATGTTAATAAGCAGTCGGAGTCAACCAAGCACATCAGAAAACACCCTAACCATAAGTTCTCGTGGGAAGTTTTAATTACTGCCCATTCATGGTTAAAAAGGAGAATAAAAGAAGCGTTCTACATCGCGCGCTTTCGACCAGAACTAAACAAACAAGTGCAAATACTGGAGCTCACCTTGTTCCCCATGGGAACAGGTATTACATAACTGGCACTACCTGAACACTGAGGGTATGCATATTATTTTACTCCGATGATGATCAAACAGATCGAAAACGTTAAGACTTAATTTTAACAGCTTTTTACGTTAAAGTTTTATATTTCACTTTTATCGGCGAAATGTATATAAGCGTAATTATATCCGACCACATTTTGCACTTGCTTTAGAGAAACTTTACGTTTGGTCTGGGGAAAGCAACTTTGCTAAAACTTACATTGCATCAAAAGGAACGTAAAGCTTCATTACATCCGATGACGTAAATCCACATTTATGCGCCATGACAAACAGTACACCGACGTCAAATTTGACTTACGCTGACTTACGCTACTTTAACTTTCCGTAAATCTCGACCTTTTCCATACTGTGTTACAAATCAAGTGAGCCATTTAGGTACCGTACGCATTAGGTTGAAAATAATTGTTTGGCTCTGCCAAAAATGTCGACAAATGTTGCTTGCACCAAACTTTGAATTTGGTAATCGCGTACGCACTTGAAAACACTAAAATATTTGATAACCTCAAGTGTCAATCTACTGAATGTATAGACTCTAAAAAACAAGATCAAATTTACTTGATCGACATTTGAAGTCAGATTAACGCATGCAAAGTGTAAAATCTGACAGTTTTGACACTTAAAAAAGTTTGTCCTGCTCCGAGACAGGACGACAGCGCCTTTGAAGTTTGGTACGGCTTGACAAAATTTTGGTAATAAGAAAAATGCCGTGCGCACTCGTAGAACGGAGCTGATGACAACTATTTTCCAAAATAAACAAAAGGTCGCCCAGTCCGTCAGAGCCCTTGGCCAAAGCGGACATGCTATTTTTAGGCTATGCAAAAATCACCGACATCTACATTTGCAGGAGCGGCCACTTCAAATACAGGCGTAGAGACGAAACAATTTAAGTGGCGCGATAGATGATTTAATTGCAGCTCTAGAGACAAACTAAAACAAAAGAGACAATGAACTTTGGTTAACTGGCTGATGAAACCAATTTCGATCCCCAACTGGTTTGTTATCAATCACATCGGATGTTTGTCTAGGAGCCAAACTTGGAGTAGGCTCGATTTCCGTCGCTTTCTCGAGTCCGGTCTACGTTGAGTTCGGGGAAGGAGCACCGGTTCTTTTCCCGAACGGCGGCTGGTAATCGAGCTTAAACTTGGAGGAAAGCAATGTCACGTTTTTTTTTTGTCTGTATGTTTTTTGTCTTGTTGTACACAACGAGTTAGCCAAAGCGCACATGCTATTTTTAGGGTATGCATAAATCACCAACATTTACATTTGTTGGAGCGGCCACTTCAAATACAGGCGTATAGATGAAACAATTAAAGTGGCGCGAAAGATGATTAAATTGCAGCTACATACAAAAGAGGCAATGATATTTAGCCACTAAAAGGTCGCCAACTTTGGTTAATTGGCTGACGAAAACAATTCCGATCCCCAGCCGGTTTGTAATCAATCGCATCGGTTTATAAAGTTTCTTTATCTCTGTTATGAATCGCATTTGTCTAGGAGCTAAACTTGGACGAAAGCAATGTTACGTTTTTTGTCTGTATGTTTTTTGTTTTGTCTTGTTACACAACAAGTTGGAATATTAACATAAATACATTGTTTCGTTAGTCACGTAATAAAAGCTTTAAGAAATCGAAGTTACTTCATGTTCGCATGACCTAACTGAAATACCTAATGCAGGCTCCATGTAAATAAAGGCATGTTTTCTAACAAACCTGTGAAGCTACTTAGCTTTTTGGTGCGGGCGATTTTAGCATTATAGTGTATTTAGCCACGATGTTAACGATGTGAGATATATGCTGTTAAACAGTTTTGGCTATACTTGCATAACACCCTTGTTTGTTATAATCGTTGTAAATTTAAAAGCTTGTTCTTTCTTCTTTCAAGTCTTCTTCTTCTTCTCTCTTGTGCTCTCGAGGTAACCTTGAAATGTTTTGTCTACACAACTGTATTTGAAGTGGGCGTCGCCGTCGCTTGGGCAAGAGAAGCGGTTTTATTGTAGGTTTTGTTTTCCCATGTAGGTATGATAGACAGCTTGTCAGCTTTGCCACAAAGAGCTATTGATTATACTTGGTTCAACTGTATTTCGGGCGTGACATTCAGGTTTAAAGCAGCACTCTCTTAGCTGGATTCTCATTCACCTTGGTGATTTGGGAGAGAGCAGATCGAACAACTAGGGCTGTAAAATTGATTATCTTACTTAACGAATACCATCATGGTAGGTGTTGTTCTTATGTTTTGAATTTACTCTACTACTTATTCTTAATAGATGAATGATCTCATATTTACCCCAATCTCATTCCGCAGAGTGTGAAAAAAGACATGAAGATCAAGCTGTGTATGAGAGGCGCTGTAAACGGGCACAAGTTCGAGGTTACAGGAGAAGGAAAAGGCAAGCCTTACGAGTAAGTAAATTTTAATCACTGTCTTCAGTTTTTTTTGTTTTTTTTTTTGCACTGCTTCTCAGTAACAGGTCTGAAATTCTAAGCTAAGATTCTCTCAGTGCTCCAGCATATACTGTTACTGCTTTTGTTTCAGGGGAGAACACACCATAAAACTTACAGTCAAAGAAGGTGGACCTCTTCCTTTCGCTTACGATATCTTGACGACAGCATTCTCGTACGGCAACAGGGCATTCACGAAATACCCAGAAGACATCCCAGACTATTTCAAGCAGTCTTTCCCTGATGGGTACTCCTGGGAACGGAGCATGGTTTTCGAAGACGGGGGCATTTGTACCGTCACAAGCGTAATATCGTTAGACAAGTAAGATGTAAAGCTGATGACTCCTGCATGGAAAAACGTAGCACTGTGTTCCAGATTGATAATTTTGTTCAGTTCTAATTATAACACGTTAACTTATGCCCCGTTTTAATCCTTACTTATCATTTTGTTGGAGTTTATTCTTAGATAAACTTGTCTAATTGCCTTCTTCCTTTGTTGTCTTTCAAAAATTCCTTTTTGAAATGTTTTGAACCGCAAGTTAATTAAAGTTGCCTTGATACAGTTTTTTTTCCTTCAGATCCCATTTTTCCGTCCAAACTTCCAAAATCCTAAAAGCTAAAAGCATAGGATCTTAGAGCATGACGAGTTCTGTATTACTGCAAAGTTTTAGGGTTAATTAAACAAAAATTCAGGAGCTTATTCACAACTTTTGGCTTCCCCTGTGCTCACCGTGAATTTGAAGTGTGTTTGCGGTTTACTCGAGATAAAGCATGCATATGTATAATTTGTGTGTGTTTGTTTTCTACATGTCATACACCATACTTTAAAGCATTGGTATCAACTTTTTCATATCACACCTGGTTCGCGCAAAGTTAATATTTTACCGATTCTTATCAGTTTTTGGCGGGAGGGGTTAATATCGATTACATCACAAAATACATTGTGACAAACTTCAATCCATTCCCAATTAATGTCATTTCATATTGATCTGATTAAGAGAGACTTATTGCAAACGATTGAAAAACGGCTTGGCATGGTCCAAGAAAAGAAAACTGTATCGAGACACTTTCAGACTCTTTTCCAAAGTGGTTCTCTCTGTCGGTAACCATAAGCAGAAAAAAAAATGCTTCTAAAATCGTTTGTCGTATTTTTCATTGCTTAGTAACACTGAGTATGTCTCGATTCTTTTTCATCAGAACAGAAAAAGACTGTTTTAACTACGACATTCAATTTTATGGTGTAAAGTTTCCAGCCAGTGGTCCAGTTATGAAGAAGGAGACGGTGTTATGGGAGCCATCCACTGAGACTATGTATGTACGTGATGGAGTGCTAGTGGGGGAGGTTAGCAGGACTCTGTTGCTTGGAGGAGGCGGTCATTACCGATGTGACTTCCAAAGTACTTACAGGTAAGTTTTTATTAGGTTGGTGACTCGAAATAGGGAATTCATGACGAAATTTGTCAATTCAGTTAGCAAAAGTAAATGCAAAAAACTGTATTATTGTGGTAAATTTTGTGAAAGAAATCGAATAAGAAGAAATCATTTCAAACTATAGGCCCATCTCAGTGCTCTCCAGGTTTTCAAAAATATTAGAAAAGTTACTGTGTAAGAGAATAATAAAGTTAAAATACAGTATTCTGAATAAAAACTAATATGGTTTCATTAGAGGATGTTCAAATCTTGCTTCAATGTATCTTATGACAAACTTACCAAAAGCTACCGATAATAATCAAGGATTATTAAATCTTTAATTCCAAAGTGTTCGACAGCGTGAATCATAATAATTTGTTACATAAACTGTGAAATAAGAGGAGTGGCATTGATTTTGTTTTTTAATATTTGCTTAGTGAAACACCAAGTATTAATCATGAAACGTCAAAATTAGACAAAGCCAAGACAAAACCAAGATGATCACTCTCTCGTATAGAAAAAGGATTTCAATGTCAAAGCGGTACACCCCTATCCAAATATTTACAGAGTGCTCCCCTCCCACCAGACTTTAGTCTATATCTTCATGATACAGAAGTAAATTATCGAAGTAATGGCCTTCTCAAATTATAGAGAAAAACCTAAATCTCGTTTAAGGCGTCAAAAATACTAAACATTTAAGAACTGAATGACAAATGACAGCGATTTCCACGTATTTGTTTAACCTTGACTATCTCCCGACAGTTTTAGCCCGATAACCTTTTTGTCACCGATGACGATGTACATTCTTGCAGTACACGACCGGCATCAAAGATACATATTGAATTTAAGAGAACGAACGAATTATGTAATTTGTTTTCTCAGGCTTAAGGGAGCAATTACATGGAACAGTCTATACGAGCTGACGTTAGGAACTTTAATTAGTTTAATCTGTTAAAAAAGTGTGTTCAAAATAACTTCATGATAGACCAAAGAAGTAGTTCATTAGCGAGAGAAGACTTGGAAAATATACTTAATCATATTTTCAGATCTCAATACTAAGTAATTCAATAGGCCTTCCTACTTAATTACATATAGATGGAAATAATATCACGCGTATTTCCTGTGTTAATCTGATATTGTGAAACAAATATTTGCAATGTAAGTATAATAGAAGGCAAACTAAAAGATTAATTTTTAGTGACCGCTATCTGAGTGAAATCAATGACCTTAAGATGTCTTACTTCAGGATACTGAACTTTAGGAGCTGGAAACGGTCACTGTCAGAAGTTTTCACTCTTGAAGCAGTATCGTATTTGTTATATGCATGCTGATGCCCTCAGCCCAGTGTTACTGATCCAAGTTCGTTGACTGCTTTGCAGAGCTAAGGGGGTTGTCCAGAACATGCCAGAGATTCACTATGTGGATCATCGCATTGAGATAACAAGCCATGACCGTGATTACAACAACGCCACGGTTTATGAGATTGCCGAAGCTCACTATTCTCCGCTGAAGAAGACTGAAGCCAAGTAAAGGCTTAAGAAGAAGCCAAGAAGACATTTTTTTTTTTTCTTTTTTTAGTTGAAGAGCATTTACTCAGAATTAGTATTTCATGCTTGTGATTCAAGGATTTCAGGTTTTGGGATTTGTTAGGTACTACAGATGTATTCCTAGAGTTAAATTGCGGGGAAAAAATGGTTGTCATGTTTTTGTAGGATTAAGGCATGAGGATAGACTTTTTAAACTCAGTTATAGAAAAAAGAAAAGAAACCTATGATGGGAATAAACGTGTTGTCAAAACCAGGTCTCATGGAATTTTCTTACCATAGAGTATTTTCTTGTAGGAGAGCAACCTTTGCGGTTTATGAAGTTAGCAATTCATCTGTTTTCCTACTCTTTTTTTTCTGACTTTAAAACGATAAAGTACAACAGTAATGATGGAGGATTTTAAAACCGGAGTCAGTCACTCACTCGCTCACGAGTTCACTCCCGTCCTCCTTTCTAAAGCTTAAAAAAATAAAACACTTAAACCTCAAAATTCTTGATTGGGTCTGAGTAAACTTTTTGTTTTATTCAAAGCATTTTTGAAAAATTTGGATCTAATGGAATTTTCCACTTTTCATTCCCCATCAAATTCTTTTTCTTCTTTTTCTTCTTCTTTCTTTCCCTTTTTCTTTTTCTTATATTTTTTTTCTTATTTTTTTTCTTTTTTTTTTTTTTTTAATGGAAGAGCGAATAGTAAAAGACGTCTGGGTCAAGGTAACCGCGGAATCACTAAAACTGCAGCGTCTCAAATACTCTCCCCTCTGTAATTAAAGAAAATAGTTCAACTCCCACAGGATTGGTTTGCTACACCAGCTTAGCTGCCGTTTCAGTGTATTAGAAGACCAAGATGTCTGCATACATACAGGAACATACATGCTGCCGTGACATCATGCGAAAACCTTCTATTAGGCTTGCAAAGATAGGGTAGTTTAGTTGCGTAATTGAAAGTCTCTCTGAAACAGAAAATTCCTCTTTTCACGGGACTGACGTGTTCTAGGTAAAAATGTAGTAAATACTGAGGGACCTTATTTTGCTTTAAACAGACGTACGCAATGGATAAGACGTTAAATTAAAAGTTTCACTTCGCAAGCGCTGTATTGTCTGTGTATTTATAAAACGCTAATTTTAGGAGTTTTTGTCACGATTAATTTAGTAGTTTCTGTCACGCCAGCTTTTATTTTCTGATTTTTTGATAACTTGAAAATTTACCGAGATAAATTACGCAGTTTTGCAAATTTTTACAATGATAGGTCTTTACAAATATGGTAAGCCTTTGTGAAATTTTTAGGGTGTTTTTATTTCTAATTCATTTTAGTTTTCTATATTTTGGGGACACCTTTAAAGTGCAACTAACCCCAGAAATTTTATTCCTTTAAATAAATCTACTAGTTTCCCTGATTGCTTCAGCAAAAAAAAAAAAAAGAATGATCTCGATTGATAAAATCCCTGCGTTTCTACAGTCATTTGAACATGTAATTTCTATGTTCTCGGCCGCGCAAAGTGGATCAGGGTCGGGCTACTAGTGACGTCACTTTGGGAACAGGGCTAAAACATTCAAGAGACTTTTGACTGAGATTCGAGGGCAGTCAAAACTTTTTGGGTTATTTGTGATCCATATTTTCTCAAAACTGGACAAGATTTTTAAGGGAAAGAACTGTGTCTTATAGCATTACAATACGGAGGGTAGCTACGATTTGGACGGCTGCGATATATATATATATATATATATATNTTTTTTTTTTCATTTCGAAGTGCGGGTCGCCAGTCGAGATCGCCGCGTTGTAAGTTCGGCCAGGATCAGGATAGACAATTTGCTGGTCCATTTGCGGTCACCCGAAAACGCAAACCACGCAGACTGCAGACCGCAGACCGTGCAGACCACGCAGAATGTGCAGACTGAGTGCTTTTTTTTCTTATTCTTGTTTTTGCATTCAATTTTGACTCGCATATATTTTGGTTCTGTTTATCCACAGGCCACGCAGACTCGGTGGTATGTGACTGTTGATGTGTTATAAATTTTGCAAGGGAAAATTTCTTTAGTCCAAAATATGCTTAAGTAAAGCCGTATTTTAAAATGTAGAAATAAACGTCATTTGTATTATAATGTCACACGTAACATGTGCATTTTCTACTCTTGGTATACAAAATGTAATTCCAAGTGGCTGTTGGAGTGTGACTGCGATCACGCCAAAAAAGCCTAGCGCATGGAAAGATCACAGAAAACCGAATAACATTTGAAATTTTCAGCGCAGTAGGGTCGCCGTGATCAGTTGATGCGATGGTTAATTTATCTGTCCTTATGGCAGTTTTGCTTTTATGGCGATTTAAACTGCGAGTGGTCCCTCTTTCGCTTAGTCCATCGTGCGTGACGCATAAGAAAACCTCGAGGAAAAAAATTCATGCGAGTATTTTTCTCGTCGAGGTTTACTTACTGTTTACTTACAACAACAACAAATTGGACAAAATAAATAAAACCACAAACCCGTCAAAAATTGAGGCAATTTGCGCCCAGCAATGTGCTTGATTTTAGTATATTTAGGACCAGTAAAGGGAATTTTCCATAGAAAGTCTATTAAACGCGTGAATCAACAGTCACTAGATGTTGAGTTTGTGCTGCCTGTGGATAAATAGCAAACATTAGGACATTAGTTCGTATAGTGTGATCGTCCGGGTGATTATAGTTCTGAAAAGAACTGTTGTTGGTGACCGACGTTTCGACAACATGAGCGGAAGTCATCTTCAGAGTCAAGTGAATAGTGTTTGTCAGTCGATGATGTT